ATATGGTGGGGGAGTTTAGGGTGGGAGAAAGAGGCAGACTAGAACTATTATTTGGTGAGTTTCCCTAAGCTAAGTCAGGACCCTTTGTTCTAACCTCTTAGCATCCAAGAGAACAAGTACAGGAGTTAGGTTCCTGAGGGACATTTGTTTAAATTCTTAGTCCCAGAGGGAAAAAAAAAACAGAGTGGGTGGCTGAGAGGGAAGAACAGAGTTAAATACTTCCTCTGAACAACAAAGAATGGACCCAGGCCCAGGGCTATAATTCATGGGCCTTAGATGAGCCTCCAGCTGCTTCAGCTGTCTCCACATCTGGGACAAGATTGGCAAGGGCTCCAGCAGTTATGCAGCCAGTCGATGATGCAGCTCTGCAGAGTGACGCTCCCTGGGCCTTCAGGCAGCTTCCCAAGGCCTGCGACTTTCTACATGCTGCCTGCTTTGCCCATCTTTGTGACACAATTCCCATGAAGGGCAGATTAAATACATCTGGGGCTTTTAGGGATCTTTGACAAACAATGATAAAGAGGTAAAGCACAAAACACATTACATTCTTAAATCTATTTGCATGTTGCCATGTAAATACTGATCTAAATCCAAATATTATAAAGCCAATGATTTACAGTATCTGATCTTGAGGAGTTGAGAGACCTCTTTCAGCCACTCCCCCTACCCCCGTAAAAATCTTGCCTTGACCATTGAACTTGTTTCTTGTTTCTTCTTCCCCACCCCTATTTTCTCCTTAACTCTTCTCTTCTGATTTAGGGAAATACTCCAGGATGCTTGATTTTACAGATAGGCAGAAGGCACCCTTGGTTCTGATGATGGTGAATAGTCAGGATCTGAAAGAAGCAGAACCCAAATCTCCAAACAGAATCTTTGTGGCTGCCTCCTACTGACCTCAGTGCATCACCTTTTTGGGCTGATCTACCTGGCACCTCCTACACCCACCTGGCTCAGCAAAGCAGTCAACACCTATTGTGGGGACTACCCTGGAGCTGGATATAAAAGAAAAGGAATCCCTGCTTTTGATGAGTTTCTAGCCCACTGTGGCTGTAGCCTCATCTCAGGAAAAAGATTTAACATTTAACTAGCCAAGGGGCAGCAAGCTCAAGTGAATATGCATGTGTTAGACATCAAATACACATATGTCAAAGGATCTGAGGGAACAGAGCAGCCAGAGCTCTGTCAGTTAAATCAAATGGCTTCCTAGAGGAGGTGAAGGATATAGACATGCGTAGAAGAGGTTGGGAGGCCATTTCTATATGGGAGAAATGGTTTATGTAAAGATACACATGCTGAAATAGCAGCTTCTGAGCAGAGGAAGCCAGGCTGATTAATTCGGCCAGAGCCAGGTGTTCTTGTAAAGAGAGATGAGAAGGGAGTTTGGGAGATGGAGCAGAGCAGTGGGCTGGGGAGCTTTAAACAAGTCACTTTCTCTTTCTGGACCTCAGCTGCCTCAACGGTGAAATGAGGGTACTGAGCTACGTGACTGCTAAGGTTTCCATCAGAGAGGTGTAGGGAATGAATGAGTGTGGGAGCACCGTGTCAGACACTCAAAACTCTCCTGTGAGATAGCCTTATCCACGTTGTACAGATGAAATATCTCTCCCAAAATTTCACAGACAGCAAGTAACCAAGCTGAGGTTGGAATCAGGTTGATTAATTCGTTCAGTCTTTATGGAGTGCTCTTCTGTGCCAGACTCTGGGGATATAATGATGAGACCCCACTCTCATTCTGGTTGGGGAAAGACAGAAGTAAAGATCCAAGTGGACAAAATAGGCTTAGATGGAAGACAAAATAAAACATGGAATCATGATCTGGAGCTTTATGACTGGGTGGCCCAGGAAGGCCTCTCTGAGGAGATGATATTTGAGCTGAGACCTGAAGGGCAAGAAGGGGCCAGCCTAGTTGGTGATGGGCATAGAAGTCCAAGCTGACAGAACCTGCTAGGCCCCAGTCTTCCCCTGGGGAAGAGTCGCTTTTTATTCCCAAAGATCTTAAGATCACGGAGGACAGGGGAAACCTAAGGTTGGCGATTGCAGAGTCCTCACATGAAAGTAGGGCTGCAGAGGCAAATCCTTAAACAGAGCTACCAGAGGGTGTTCCCATTCGCTTTTCTCCCTTCCCTATTGGGAATACCAGAATGGATGGTGACAGTAATCATCTTAGAGGGCAAGTAAGGCTTCATTTTATAAAAATAATAGCTGTTAGTGATACTCACAGTAATGTTACACAAAGTTGCTGTTGAGTCACTTCCGACTCATGGTGACCTCACGTTTTTCAGAGCAGAACTGTGCTCCATAGAGTTTTCATGGCTGTGACTTTCCACACACTGTACTCTCCCTTTCACTTACAGAGGAAGAACACCTATCTCTGACTCATTCACATAACGAATTTCAGCTCCTTGCTTCTCAGTTAAGGAGGCGGTCCCAGTAGAATTATGGGCATTTGAGCCATCTTCCTGTTCCAAGGCCCCAGGAGGCTCTTCTAAGAATGGGCCCTTCATGGGGTGAAGATAATGGGCAAAAAGTGCTCTTCCCTGATGGACCAGTCCTAGCTTTCACATCCTTTCAACAATAGAGTTGTTATTTGAGCAGCATTCTTAAGACAGTTCAAAAATTCTTTCACACCACACCCCTTATGTGTAAAATCATTGCATACTCCCCTCTCCTGTCCTCTCCTCTTGTAAACTCAACTCAGATCCCTTTGGTTCTGGAAGGATTTTCTAGGTTTCAGGAGAGACTGGGAAAACTTGCCTTTCTCTACTTACCTTTCTGCCTTGTTGGAAGAAAGAAGTCAATTCTATGGAGAGATAAGGAGAATCTCAGGGACTAGAGCTTGAAATGGGGCGCCTCAGGATCTTCCCAAACTGGGTGGAAACCTGTGGATTGATGGCATCTCCTGCCTGGCCCACACTCAGCTTCCCGCTCCGATGCCGTGTTCAACACTTGGCCCAAGGGTCAAATGAGATAAACTCACGGAGGAAGCACCATCTGATATTTCTGTTGTCCACTGGTCCTTCTGCCCCTCCCCGTCAGGAAAATACACTCTTTCTCTCACCCCTTCAGTCCCAGCCTCTCCTCTTCATGTCCTCCGCAGGCACTAAATGTTTAACAGCCGCTCACCCTCCCCTGAAAGCCCTGATTGGTAGCATTGGTGGCGCAGTGGTTAAGTGCTCAGCTGCCAACTGAAATGTTGGTTGTTCAAACCCACCAGCTGCTCCATGGGAGAAAGATGTGACAGTCTGCTTCCATAAAGATGACAGCCTTGGAAACCCTATGGGGCAGTTGTACTCTGTCTTACAGGGTCTCTGTGAGTCAGACTAGACTTGATGGCAATGGTTTTTTTTTAAAAAAAATACTCCTAAACCAAAACCAAACCCATTGCAGTCTAACTGATTCTGTGTTACAGAGTATAACTGCTCTATAGGGTTTTCTTGGCTGTAATCTTTAAGGAGGCAGATTGCTAAGCCTTTCTTCTGCGGTGCCACTGGTGGGTTTGAAGAATTAACTTTTGGGTCAATAGTTGAGTGCAAACCACTTGTGGCATCCAGGGACCTCTGTAAACACTCTCACCAAGACCTATTTTAAGCTCCTACTGTGAAGTCGTTGAATGCGGAGCTGGGAAGAGATGCAGAGCAGCACACCACAGTGTAAGATTTCCACCTTCTGCTCTCCTTTCTGGGAGCTGTAGGCTGTCCCACAGGCTTGGTGCTTCTGGTGGTTCAAGAGAATGTTCTTATTGTTAGCTGCCGCTGAATCCATTCCAACTCATGATGACCCCATGTGTGCAGAGTAGAACCGCTCCATAAAGTTGTCAAGGCTGTGACCTTCAGAACCAGATCTCCAGGCCTGTCTTCCAAGGCAACTCTGGGTGGTTCAAACTGCCAACCTTTCGGCTAGGAGTCGAGCACTTAATTCTTTGTGCCACCCAGGGACTCCTGTTCAAAAGCATGGATAATAGTAAAATAATTTGTGATGTGGTTTGAGTATTCATTGCCTTTGCTTTTAATTTATTTAATTGCAAGTTTATATAATTTCATTTTCAACAATTGTGTGTTTAACTGCTGGCTGGCAAAATTCCTGAAAATCTAACATCTCCACCAGCTGGCCAGCACACCCCCACCTAGCCGGCAGACCACAGGCCCAGGCGGCCCTGGGGTCCAGAAGGGCCTTCCATGTCCCCAGGGAGTTGCCCTTCCGGCAACAGAACACTGACAGGGAATTTTTGGTTCTGGGGCTTTCAGGGGACCTTTGATTAAGAAATAGCTGGAATGTTGCCATTGGAGCGATGAGGTGGGACTGGCAGAAGGGGGCGAATGGTGGGGCTGCATTCCGAACTTCTGACCCGAACTGCCTTGAGATGAGAAGACCCAGGAAGCGGACAGATGTTTGGCAGGGCCAAAGTGACCGATGTATCGACGCTCTGTGGCACAGCCGGGGGCAAAACCTCCAGCGCCGGGCTTATCCCGCCAACCCACGCCTCCAACCTCAGCTCATCGCCACTCCCTCCCCGCCAAGTGGCTCTAGGCGCTGGAGGCGGGACCGAGTTCTCCGGTGGCCCTTGGAGGGCTGCGAGCTCTGGGAGGCTGGGAGGCGAGCGAGGGGAGGGGCGCTGGCTGGGCCGGCCAAAGAGGAGGGGTCCTTTAAGAGGCTCGCCCAGCCCCAGGCTTGCCGCGCTGCGAGTGGCTGCGGCTTGGAGCAGCGGCCCGGCGCTCCCGCTAGTTCTCGGCTACAAATCTTCGCCTTTGCACTTGACAGCGATTGTACTTGAGCTCCCTGGGCGCGCTTTGCCTGGAAAGGTACAGGTAGGAGGCGCGGGCTGCCCGGTGCACGCCCGTGGCTCCAGGAGAAGTTTCTCTCTCTCCCTCTCCTTTCTAGGAGCTGCGGGCGATCCTCGAGGGTTGGTGGTTTCGGTGGCCAGCTGCAAGGAGACGGTGTCGGCGACCGGTGAGCCGGGCCGAGCCCTTTCTCGAGCCGTAGCTGTGCGCGGCGGCGGCGCCATGCTTCTGCTGGGCATCTTAACCCTGACTCTCGCCGGGCGACCAGTCAGCGGCTTTGAGCCAGAAAGCGAAGTGGTCGTTCCGATCCGACTGGACCCGGACATCAACGGCCGCCACTACTACTGGCAGGGTCCCGAGGACGCCGGGGATCAGGGCCTCATTTTTCAGATCACAGCGTTTCAGGAGGACTTTTACCTCCACCTGACACCCGATACCCAGTTCCTGGCGCCTGCCTTCGCCACTGAGCACCTGGGCGTCCACCTCCAGGGACTGACCGGGAGCTCCCCAGACCTGCGACGGTGCTTCTACTCTGGGGACGTGAACGCCGAGCCGGGCTCTTTCGCCGTGGTGAGCCTGTGCGGGGGGCTACGCGGAGCCTTCGGTTACCGAGGCTCGGAGTATGTCATTAGTCCGTTGCCCAACGCCAGCGCGCCGGCGGCGCAGCGCAACAGCCAGGGCGCGCACCTCCTCCAGCGCCGGGGCGCCCCCGGCAGGTCCCCCGGAGACCCGACCTCCCGCTGCGGGGTGGCCTCGGGCTGGAACCCCGCCATCCTGCGGGCCCTGGACCCTTACAAGCTGCGGCGGACCAACTTAGGGGAGAGTCGCAGCCGGCGCAGGTCCGGGCGCGCAAAGCGCTTCGTGTCGATTCCGCGGTACGTGGAGACGCTGGTGGTGGCGGACGAGTCAATGGTCAAGTTCCACGGCGCAGACTTGGAACATTATCTGCTGACCCTGCTGGCCACGGCGGCCCGCCTTTACCGCCATCCCAGCATCCTCAACCCCATCAACATCGTCGTGGTCAAGGTGCTGCTTCTCGCGGACCGCGACGCCGGGCCCAAGGTCACGGGCAACGCAGCCCTGACGCTGCGCAACTTCTGCGCCTGGCAGAAGAAGCTGAACAAAGTGAGTGACAAGCACCCCGAGTACTGGGACACCGCCATCCTCTTCACAAGGCAGGTGAGTTGATCAGTCGCCTCTTTGGACCAGGGTAGCCCCATTATCTCCGGGTAACTGCCCAAAACAACTCTCCAAATCGCTTTTGTGTCGCTCAATGCCCCCGAGTTTAGTTTCGTTGATCTCATCCGGGTCCTCCTTTGGAGCTTCCAGAAAGGGCCCGGCTCAGCGGAGCTCCAGCTCACGTGCATCGGGGCGGTTTGAGGATAGCCTGCTCCTTGGGAAGGTGTTGGCCTGGGGCGGCCAATCAGTGCCTCCTAGATCAGGCACCTAGGGGCCAAAGCCCAGGAAGTTGCCGCCCCGGAGCTGCAGTTTGCCGCCAAGGTCGATAGGAGGCGCTCGGAGGATGGTGTTGGAGAGGGCGGGAAAGGCCCGCCCCTATCGCATTGGGACGTCTAAGTCCTGTCAAACACCTCCTCCGAGTCTTCTTTTCACTGGCTGTAGAACTGGAAGGTAATCCAAGCTTCCCAGTACAGCGCCTGGCGACATTTCTGGCGGGTAATATGTTCAGTTCTCGTCTCTCTGCCTGGGAAATCCTTGGACTGGGAAAGAGGAATCATTAGGGAAATTTTGTGGGTTGTAGTGAAAGGAGAGACTCAAGTACTGGGGTCATTCTCTCCTTCATTGCTGCTTTTCCTACGTCCATCTCAGCTGGGTCTGTCCTGTATTTTACGGGCTGCCAGTCGGTTCAGAGCAGGCAGGCTAGGTAGGGCACCTATTTGGAGCTGGGACTGTTTCACTTGGAATTTAGAGTTTGACCTGGAGTTGGGTTGGGAAAATCCCTCACAGTTTTCCCATATTCTTGTTAGTGGAAGATGATACGTTTGACCTGCTGTGTGCTACCCAGCGGAGCAGGCAAGGTTGCTTATGCCCACTATTCACTAAAACTTGACTGCAAGTCTGGAACTTTGGCCCCAAAGACCGCTCCAGAGACGCCATTTGTGGGGTTGGGAAGACTGAATATTGGGATTAGGAAGACGGCCACAGACTAAGAAGGCAGCTCTGCTTTTTGCAGTGAAATGGTGTGGGCTGTGAAATGCCCAGTCTGGCACTTGTTTGGCCACAAGGGACGTCCTGGGAGACCACAGCCAGGACCACACAGCCAAGACCAGAGGTGCTTGTAGGAACCAGGCCTTTACCTAATATCCCATCTCAAATAATCTGTGAATCTGTGCAAATTCAGATTTATAGATGCTGGAGTGATTGGGTACTCCGAGGTGTTTGGATTCTTGAGATTTCTCAGGTACAGGAGACTGGGAGGACAGGGGGCATCCAACCCTTCGGCTTTATCTACTTTTGGGGGCTGCGACTTGAATCTGTGCCGTGCTCTTCTTTTCTCATTATTATGCCCACAGCATTCTGGGGATGGCACAGCAGCCTGGGTTACCTCTGAGCTCTAACTCTCCATGGTTTCCAAATGGCCGGCCAGAGCTGAGCTGGTGCATGTGGGCTGGAGCTGGAGCCTCTGCACGAACCCATTTGGCACAGCCAGTCCCTTCCTGGAGCTGAACTTCCTCCATTTCCCAGCCTTCTCCTCCCACCACCTGGTTTCTCTAGGGAGGTCTTTGGCCTGAGTCTGTTTCCTTGCTCTCATTCTTCCAACTGAGGTCTGTAAGAGCTGCCACTGCCCAGCCCTGACATGGGGACTGAGTCATGAGGAAACTGCAAAGGAGGTGACTTCGACTTCTGTGCACAGACCAGCTCTGCAGTCAGTTTGCTGGCTGAGAACAGGATGTATTAATGGGCAAAGCAGCTGTTGCCCCATCCAATACCTGGGAGAGCCTTGCGAAGGTCATTCATTAGCTCTAAAGTAACAGATCTTAGTCTCTGCTGCCGGTGTCTCTGCTGACTCTTTGGAACCAGCCCCAGGAAGAGGACTCCTGCCGGGAATATGGGCCGTGCAATCTGGAGGACCTAGCGTTTGAAGAAGAAGCAATCAAACAGCATGACGACTTCTGTGTGCTAGACCCCCAGGGGGCTGTGCTGTCCCTGCATAATGGGTACAAGATGCATGACCACTTGAGTGAGAAGCAGTGATGTACTGCAAGATGTGACTTTTAGAAGCTATCCCATCCTCCGGAGTCAGGAGGGCAAAGCCAGAGAGTGGGGAGGCTGCTGCACGGGCAGGCTCTTCATCAAGGTATGTGCTTTCTGCTCTAGAGTAAAAATCCATCTCCACCTCCTCAGCACAGATGTCGGGGCTTGCTGCATTCTCAGAGGCTTAGGAACTTCTCATTCCTGAAATCCCTGGGGCAGGTACAGTATTCTGTGAGAAAACGTGTGCACAGCTGTGCTTTCTGACTGAGGCAGACCTGCCTGGAGAAGCAGTCGACTGCATCCTCCAACACAAGAAGAGGGACTTTTGTTTTATATCCTAATGGTCAGTAGTGATCTGTTAAATCAGATCGATGAGCTAGTCTGCTTAACCCTCTTTATTATCATGGTGTAAACAATGCTTTTTTAAGCTAAAATTATACTTCTGTATATGTATGTATCTCTATATCTATATATACACGTGTGTGTATGTCTGTGTGTGTGTGTATATATATATAGTTGTTGTTGTTAGGTGCCGTCAAGTCAGTTCTGACTCATAGTGACCCTGTGTAGAACAGAATACTGCCCGGTCCTGCACCATCCTCACAATCGTTGCTATGTTTAAGCCCATTGTTGCAGCCGCTGTGTCAATCCATCTCATTGAGGGTCTTCCTCTTTTACACACGCACACACACCTCAATATCTGTGTATACATACTTATTTGTTTGGATTAGAATTTTTAGAAATGTGCTTATTTTGTAATCATCTTTTGTCCGTAAGGGGTCTTGAACTGATGGACACCTTTAGAGTCACCCATTTCTTGGTTCCCCCAAAGACATCTGAGAAGGGACTAGTAACTCTTATGGACTGATCTTGCTCTTCCTGTGGTTTCCACAGTGAAGACTCCATGAGGAAGGGGTCTGGCTCGCTCAGATGGTGTTTCTCCTGTGGCAGAGATGAGTGCAGCCCCCCGGAGCTCTGGGTACCAGAGGTGGTTGGAAGGAGAGCTGCATGAGCAGCGTGCCCTGGGTGGATGGGTGCTCCTCCCTGACGGACAGCCGGGGTGCTATGTGTGCAAACCAGTTGGCCGGGCTCAGGTGGAAGCTGCTATCCTCTTGGCAGGCAGAAGGAGGGGTGTGGGGTGTTGAAATGCAGACACTGAGAAGTCAAGACCCAGGGAGGATACTGAACTGTCCTGAAAGGAGAAGACATTGATCAGACGGCAAGTATTTTGACAATTGGAAGTACTTATTTAAAGATTCAGAATAGCTTCATGAAGAAAGGGTGCACATCTGGTTTTGTGAAGCCATTGGCCTCCAGACAGCAGGGCAAGGTCAGCACAGAATGAGAACCAAGATCTTTGGAGAATTTGCGCCAGAGTCGTTCTGGGTGGACGTTTATTTCTATGGCGAGAAAAGTTTCTGTGGCTTCCTGTTGCTTTGGGCGCAGGAGCCAGATATTTGGTGCCCTGACTTAGTAGGACCTCATTTCTCTGTGACGTCTCTCTCCTTAGGTCCAGCGCTGCTGCCATTTGGGTAACCCTGTGTGGTAGACTGGCATTTATTTGCTGATGTATAATTCTTTATTAATATTCATGCAGCATCTCTTATTTTCAGGTACTGTCCTGGGCGAAAGGAGTCCCCGTGTGGCACAAGTAAGAGGAAGGAGTGGAATGTGATTGTTCCCTGGCTTGGAGGGTGATTACTCTTCTCCCTCCTTTTCTGACTTCACCAAATACGTCAGGCCAGTTCTAACATAGGAGGGTGGGAAGGACGGTGGAGGGAGGAGTGTGCCCTGGCATCTGTGCCTATTTTTTGAGAGTCAGGAAGGCAAGTGAGGCTTTCTCCTCCTCTGGGTTTTGCTCTCCTCTTTCCTTTGAACTTCTCTGTAGTTGTTCGCATTACTCTTTTGACCCTCAACCTCACCTTGCCTCGGTTGCATCGAACGACAGAAAGAATACAGGCTTGGAGGTGGGCAGGGCTGAGTTTGAATCCTGCTCTTTTACTTTCTATCAATGGACATTGAATGAGTTAGCTATTTGAACTTCACTTTCTTCATTCTGAAAATAGGGATGATGATGATGATGCTTAACTTCTAGGACTGTTGTGAGAAGGAGTTATTTAGTGGGCTAGAATAGGCACCTGATTGATGGCAACTATTATTATCACTTCGTAGATGCTCAATATATGTTTATTGTTGTTAAACTACCTACAGACCCCCTGCCAAGATTTAAATTTGTGATAGCCTGTTTAAAAGTATCCTGCCTCATTGCCTTGGCAAGTATACTTAGCACTTATCTGACTACATATTACTATTTTTGGGTTGGAGACATGAACTCCAACATTTGTCAAGCCCACGGATCTGCAAACTCCCTAAGGCACAGCCCTCTTTATCTCTCTGTAGCTCCATAGTATGGAACGTCTTGGTGTTGAGTAGACGTTCATGGAAGGAAGGCACTGAAATAGAGGAAAGGACTGCATCTGTAGCTGTGGCTGCGTGGATAGTGTGCTTCCCTTCCTGGGGATCCTTAATCCAACTTTCTAGGCTGTCAGACTCCAGGGTTGGGAGAGTTGGGTTCTTCTGGCATTTTGTCTTGGCTTTTTGCCATTGGGTCTTGCCCTATAGGTAGAAGGAGCCTAAGAGAGGAGCTAATCTGCCTGGAGTCAGCAGACAAGGTGCCCAGCAGGAACAGGGTCAGTGTGTCAGTGCAGGTGTGGGGCAGCGAGCCAGAGTCTTGCTCAACCAGTGCGGTGGTGGTGCAGAGACTGCGTGAAGAGCTTTTAGCACGTGACGCTGATGCTGACGCTGCCCTCTCCCCAGCTCTCTTGCTCAGGCCCACCAGCCTGGCCTGGACTCTGGGGAAGGGGCCGGGCATGGTCTTTGCCTCTGGAGCTCCTGCTTCCCTAGCCCTTCGTTCCTGGGAAGCTGGCTCTGGGGTGGATGTTACCCCGAAGCCATGTGGAGTAGTG